TGTGGGGAGGATTTTAGAGCATAAGCTCCTATGGTGAAGAGGCTGATGTCACAGGCTTAGTGTTCCGTGCACAGTACTGCTGAATTTATTGTGCACGTCCGACGTTATTTAGAGCGCTGGTTATGTTCTAACACCCTCTAATCTTTGGGTTTAAAAGGCTTTGTTAGTTGCACTGCTATTCTACACTGGTTCTGATTTGTTTTTGCTACTTTTTATGCTGTTACTGAGGATGATCAGCCCAACTATCTTACAAACCTCATACAAAGCCCCAAGTGAAGCAGTCACAGAGCTAAAACCAGCTGCTACTTTCTTTACTTTGGTCAGAGCATCAACTAGGTTCTTACTTATTTTCTTTACAGTGTATTATTGACGATTTCTAAGTATGATCTATTATTCATATTTCCTCTGCATTCCTACTCCCTGCTGACTTACTGTCTATTGAAAAAGAAGGGGAGAACAATGCAGTAAACACCAAACCAACAGATGATTATATCAACTGTCAACTATTACAAATTCTTGTTCCATCTTATGGAGGTTATACTGAGTTCCTCACTGCTTGCTGCTGCTGTGGAAAGGGAGCTTTGCTTTCTGCAGTACAGCATCCTATTTTGCAAATTGTCCTTTTCTGAATATTCTATAAGGAGGGGGGTAACACACAATTGCAGCAGCATGTGGTTGTTCACAATGATCAGAGGACCAAGGAGGGGGAGCTCCAAAACAAACATAACAGGTATCCAGCCATATCACAGTTTGGGATATCCTATATTTATTACAGGTACTTATACAGCACCATCAATTTACATGTATATTGTACATTCGCATCTGTCCCTGCCTTCAACAAGCTTCCAATCTAAGGTCAGGAGACAAATACATACCTTCATATCTTGGAGTGTAGATGGAAACACATCCAAACTCAGAGCAGGTAGTGCCATGGTTAGGCTTTGAATCAACAACCCTAGTGCTGCTAGGCAGAAGTGCTAACCACTTAGCCACTGTGTTTCCCAAATAATTCTAGCAATAATACCCTTTAAAGGGCAATGGGCCATAGGACCTTGAATCCCCCTGTTCATGTACAGGTGATATTTTTGCCTCTGTTGTTACGTAGTGATATACCTATTAAAATATAACCAGATTGAAAGTAAAAGTATTTAAGTTATAGTATATATAAACCCTAATAAACAAATTTCATAGATGCTTAAAGTGTTACTAAACCAGGACTCAGAATTCACTATATCTGGTCTCCCACAGTACACACAACATGGAAATGCAATTATTTTAGTAAATATAAACTGCTAAATACCTTTTCTCATCAGCAGTTATAGTAGTCCTGTGGCTACTATCAGTGCCCAGCTGAGCACTGGTTAAAGCTTGCAGGAGGAGTTTTCAGTCTTCTCTGACTGTCCTATGAGGCTGCATAACTCCTGACCCTCTGTCTGGACAGTGCTGATTGGCCTTGTGCTGATCACATGCACCCTCCCAAAGAAGAAAAAAAACTCTCTAGCAATACTCACTAAACTGAGCATGTGCATATTGATTCCTAGAGTTCTGAACTATCAGCAGATGGACTGAAAACAGTAGAATAAGGGGAGGATCATAGAAGACGGGATCAAACAGCCTTTTTACACAATGCAAAGTTTCCAGAGAGAGTATAACAAGCATGCTTTACTGCATATACAGACTGATTTTACTGATGTGGGTTTAGTAAAACACTTTAAACATATCTGCAGCTTACATTAAATAATACCTGGTGATCTGGTGCCATGAAGGTTAGACACTTCATATTATAGGATGACAACATCCTGTCCCTATCTTCTAACTGTGCTCCCGTGTTGTCACCATTAGGGTGACACTTGGCTTGGGTCGAAACCAGGAAGTTAGATGTCATTACCGGGACAATGAGCTGCAAGCTGTTATTGCTGGGCCAATGAGCTGCAATCAGGTCCCACATGGCCATATTAGGTCAATCAATGACCAAGTCCAAAGCCAAGCTCATCACTAGTCACATGATGTCTCAATGTAGACTACAAGTAGCCATTTCAACAAAATACACCAAATTAGTCTATTATTTACCATTAGGAATCTTGCCCTGAGAAATATCATACAACCATCACTGTGGGGCATGTATGTAGACAGAAAATGGCTGCAAAAAGGCTGCAGAATGTCAGCATCACTGAGATGGAACAAAGAAAGAAAAACGGTGAAAAAACTGTAAAAAATTATTATGATACACAATGTTAAAGTAAACTAAATGTCATTCAGTTAGGGTTTTTAAAGCAAAACCAAAAAGTTTGATACTTACGGATTACCAGTCATTAGATTTGATGGCTGCATTCGTTTTTTTTTTTAGGCTTTTCTCCTCTGTTTTCACCTGGTGATCTGGCTAGTAACACACCTCTTGTATTAGAGTTCCCCCACCCTGGATAAAGGAGTACAGAGACACCTTTGGACAGCAGGCTTGTTAATCTGGGGAGAGGAGTGTATTAGATGTACTAGCAGATTTAGATACACTAACAAATTGAGGTCAAACTCCAGCTCACACTGCAGTTACACAAGCAGTTATAGCAACTGTTTTCTTTTGGGGTCAAGGTTTTACATGAATAAATAAAATCTGATCATTGTAAGCACCCCATCAGTGGTTAATGGTTTGTCTCAGTACTCTAACAGATACATTTACAGGAGAGCTTGTTCTGTTGAAAAACAACATACTTACTGGCTGGATCACCAGAAGAGAAGAAAGAAAAGAGAGCCAAAAAAACCCCAAAAACTAATGCAGCCATCACATCTATGAATTGGTAAGCAGCAATATAGTAAATGTTTGCTTTTGGGTTTAATACTGTTTTAAGTAAAATAAATGATTATGTGTATTTTTATATTATAATATATTTCAAATCAGTGTTTGCTGTTTTTTGTACTTATAGAAAATAAGCCCAGTTATGATGAATGTTGTTAGAACAATTACAATAGAACCTGTAATCTCACTCTACCTTGCCAGTCTAAACTGTGATGATATCAGTAGAAAGGAAAGCCATTGACTCAATTATGTTAGCATTAATGAGAACGTGCAATGTAATCATTTGTGCCCATCTGGGGCCTTTTATGTGTTACATGAGCTGTTTATCTCACACATATCCCAGTATCCACCCCCTCTCAGAAATGCGTTCTCTAGTAATTCACTTAAATTACTTTTTTTTTAAATCAGGATATGGTCTCATAAAATAATGAACTAACATACAGTGAATAGTAGAGGTGCACAAAATGCACAAACCCCAGAAAAAAACAAGATTAAATCATATAAATTAAAGTAACTGAATTATATATTGGCTTGTTTAATAGCATTCAAAGAAGTAATTACACGCATGAACTCACTCCAACCAGCCAATCAGAAGTCTGCTTAACCTCAGTGTCGGCGCTTTAAGAGTTTCAGAAGCCGGGAGGCGAGCGGGGTTTTAGGGTCATGTGACTGCCGTGATTCGCCGGCTTAGGGTTGCATATGTGTGAACCAAATATCCCTATTTGTTGCATAGTTTGCCGTCACCAGGTGCAGAGGGTCCTTCAGAATTTCTAGAGTTAATGTGGTTACACCCCCTTTAGCACCTGATGGATAAATGCATGCACTAGCTGTATGGATTTGAGCGGGATCTCTTGTTCGCCGTCACGGCAGTCACATGATCGGAATAGGTCCCGATCGAAAGGGAAGATCGGGACCTTTCCGTGAGTCACGGACAAATGTGCTGGGAGCACGCAGCACATATTTATTTTCTAATTGCACGCAAATATGCGGCAACTCGGCGTCAAAGCCCAGACGCTGAGAGGCCGCATATTTGCGTGCAATCAGCGTCAAGGGGTTAATGGCCCATTCACATCACAGCCATCAATCCATCCCCTCATGCCAGGGTACTAGGTGTAACCCTAGACTCCCATCTGTCCTTTCAGCCCCAAATCCAATCACTGTCCAAATCTTGTAGACTTCACCTCCACAACATCTCCAAGATATTCTCGTTCCTAACCTCAGAAACCACTAAGCAACTTATTCACTCCCTTGTTATCTCTCCCCTTGACGATTGTAACTCCCTCCTCATTGGCCTACCTCATCACAGGCTATCCCCTCTTTAGTCTATCATGAATGCTGCTGCCATACTCATCCACCTTACTAACCGTTCTGTATCAGCCACCCCTCTCTGCCAATCCCTCCACTGGCTTCCCATTGCCCAATGAATAAAATTCAAAACATTAACAATAACATATAAAGCAATTTATAACACTGCCCCAAATTACATCACCGATCTTGTCTCCAAATATCACCCAAACAGTACTCTCCACTCCGCCCACGACCACCTGCTCTGTAGCTCCCTTGTCTCCTCCTCCCATGCTTGTCTCCAGGACTTCTCCAGAGCCTCCCCCATCCTCTGAAACTCTCTACACCAATCTATTCAACTATCGCCTACTCTGCCCACTTTTAGGCAATCTCTGCAAACCTTTCTCTTCAGGGAAGCCTATCCTGCCTTCAGCTAATAACGGAATCTTCTATTCCTCCTACCAGTCCATCCCCCACAGTAATTACCTTTTGTACCACTAGCCTCTCCCTCTTAGATTGTAAGCTCCAAGGAGCAGGGCCCTCCTAACCCTCTTGTATTAAACTGTATTGTTGCTGTATTGTCTCCCGTTATATTGTAAAGTGCTGAGCAAACTGTTGGCGCTATATAAATCCTGTATAATAATAATAATCACAGCATGTGCATTATCATGTGTACAACGAGAACACTGGTAAGTGGTTTATCATGTGTTAAGCTGCATAGCATTATTAACCGCTTCCTGACTGCCCTATAGCAGAACTACTGCTACAGGGCGGCATGGCTGTGCAAAATCACGTATATATACATGATTTTGTATTTCCGGGTAGGGGGGTGCACGCAATGCACGTGCCCTACTCGCGCCACCATTGGTGGCTACAGCTGTCGATCACGGGGTCCCAGACTGAGATTCCCCGCCAGCACCTGGCGATCTCTCCCCTGTCAGCTCCTGCACGCTGCTTTGTATTGCTCTGCATAACAGGGCAATACAAAGCAGCGTGATTACACAGTAAAGCACAGCACACAGTTAACCCTTTGATCACCCCAGATGTTAACCCCTTCCTGCCCAGTGTCATTAGTACAGTGACAGTGCTTTTATTAGCACTGATCACTGTATTAGTGTCACTGGGGATGTCAGTGACAGCTAGTTTCCCCCCCCCCCCCCAGTGTCAGAATGCCCATCGCAGTCCCGCTATAAGTCGCTGATCGCCACTATTACTAGTATAAAAAAAAAAATGAAAATCCCAGTATATATACCCCAATTTGTAGAAGCTATAACTTTCACGTAAACCAATTATTTTATAGGTATTGGGATTTTCTTTAGCAAAGACATGTAGCTGAATACATTTTGGCCTAAATTTATGACGAAATCTGATCTTTTGAAATTTTTTTACTGTACATGTTTAACAGCAAAAAGTCAAAAATATAGGTTTTTTTTTTTCAAAATTGTCAGTCTTTTTTTGTTTATAGCGCAAACAATAAATACCGCAAAGGCGATCAAATTCCACCAAAGGAAAGCTCCATTTGTGGAAAAAAAGGACATAAATTTAATTTGGGTGCAGCGTTGCATGGCCGCGCAATTGTCAGTTAACCACTTAAGAACGGAACTATATCAGATACTGCTACAGGGCGGCCCTTGTGCACAAAATCACGTATATAAACATAATTTTGCACTTCCGGGTAGGGGGTGCGTGCACCCTACCTGCTCTGCCATTCACGGCCGTGGGTGTCAATCACCGGGTCCCGGCCAGTGATTATATGCCGGCGCCCGGTGATTACTGGCGATCACCGACAGGGAGGAGGGTTGTTTTGTTTACCAACAGTCCTCCTCCCTGTCAGTTTGGGCACACTGCTCTGGATGGCTGAGCAGAGCCATCTCGATCAGTGTGCTTACAGTGAAGCACACACCCCCACCCCCTAATAAAACACTCCCATCACATAGTTTACCCTTTGATCGCCCCTCATTGTTAACCCCTTCCTGCTCAGTGCCATTAGTACAGTGTCAGTGCTTTTTTTTTTTAGCACTGATCACTGTATTGATGTCACTGATGATGTCAGTGACACCAAATCATTTCCCCCAGTGTCAGAATGCCCGCCGTAGTCCCGCAGTCTCGCTATAAGTCACTGATTGCTGCCATAAGTTGCTGATGGCTGCCATTACTAGTATTAAAAAAATTACAGTATCTATATCGCCATTTGTAAAAGCTATAACTTTCACATAAACCAATTAATTTACACGTATTCGTTTTTTTCAGCAAAGACATGTCGCAGAATACAATTTGGCCTAAATTTATGGCAAAATTTGATTTTTTAATATTTTTATTGGACATGTTTAATAGCAAAACATCCAAAATATTGTTTTTTTCTCAAAATTGTGCATTTTTTTTTTTATTGTGCAAAACAATTCATTTGGGTGCAGCGTTGCATGACTGCGCAATTGTCAGTTAAAGTAACATAGCAATGCAATGCAAACTGCTTCTTTAACTGCTTCCTGACTGTCCTATAGCAGAAATACTGCTACAGGGCAGCACGGGTGAGCAAAATCATGTATATATGCGTGATTTGCGCTCCCATGGTTTTCACACCCTCCTAGATAGTGTCAACAACTTTTTTCTTGAGTAACACCCTCTAGGTTAGCTAGATTTGTTGTTGTTGTTTTTTAGATAGAGGCTGAGTAGCAGCCTGGGATTAGTCAGCCTGGGAGTGAGACAGGAGCTCACCTCAGGACAGTCTGGAAGGTTGAACAAGTCAGCGCTTCTAGAGCCCTCTCACCTTTCCAGAAGCTGGAGAACTTTCTGGAAGAGGGGTGGAGGAGAGGAGGAGTCCCAGATCTGCATGTTTGAGGGACCTTGGCTAATCCCATAGCAGGAGGCTGGGCATGGTGACCAGGGTAACCCTCAAATATCACAGAGCTTGGGGAGCAAGGGGAGTCAGGTGGAAGATGGGATGAGAGGAAGGCTAGAGTGTTGAGCTTGGAAGGGGGCCCCAGGGAGGAGAGCCTACCTACAGGCTGGTTGCTAGACAGAAGGATTTCCACTGCCAAAGTCTCCTAGGGAGGACATCCTAAGCAGCAGAGAAGGAGCCAGCCCAGCAAAAGGCCTGAAAGCAGGTACCAACCCACCATGCTGACAGGACAGGACAGTGTGAGTACTCCTACACCTCCTGGGCCAGATAAGGGGAAAGGGCGGTTGGGTGCCATACCCAACTAGTCCTCATCCGGGACTGCTTAACTGCAAGCTTCCGGAACCTCTTGCTCAGGGATACCCTCAGTACAGCTGGTTGGAAAGGAGGAGGAAAAAAGGGGGACTATAGTAGGGTTGCCATGTCATCCCTTTAAAACCAAACACATATTAATTACACAGGTTCTGAGGCCAATTTAATGCACATAAGGCATTAGGTGAGTTTAATAGTCACCTTAATCAGCCACAGAACCTGTGTAATTAAAGCGGAGCTCCACCCAAAAGGGGAATTTCCACTTTAAGGCTTAGTCCACCGCACCCAATTAAGAATTGGTACCTTTGGGGAGTGGGTACCCGAATTTGACAGGTACCCGCTCCCACTTCCGCTGCAATCGCCTAGGTGATTGGAAGCGGAAGTTGTCCTCCACCCCTCCATCAGATGAAGTCACGATGTGTGGAGGTGAGCAGGCATTGCTGCCATTTGAGGATTTCTGTTTAATTTTCACTGGAGTGAAGATCACATCAGCACGGTTTCACTTGCATGGACTTTATGTTTTCAAATAACACAGATATAATTTGATTTGTTTGCTCTTTGGTCACATACAGTGTGTTTTTTAGAGATTGATATATAGCACTGGATGTTTGTTTCTCCTTAAAGAACCACTTCACTACTATTTGTATTATGTCACCATAATAAGGTTATGTTTCACTTATATATTTGTTGAATGATATGTATTTGTTTGCAATAATTTTTCACTGAGCACCATTGTGTTTGCATGGCAAGCAATATTTAACACTAATTTTACTTATTAGATAGATTTTGTTTATAGCGCTGCACTATTCACAGTTATTAGGCTATACATATACGTTTTGGATTTACGAGGGAAAAGATAGTCACGTGGAGCCCCCCCCTGGTGCCCAGACTACATGGGGAGTAATGGCAAGATAGTTTGGGACTTGGTGTCATCATTTCTCCATATGGGGTAAAACTTATACGTGGACAATTTTTCTTCAAGCGTGCCACTATTTAGACATTTATTCAATCTTGGAACTGGCACTTGTGGCAAAGTGTGACCTAATGTGTGCCCACCATTAGAAGTGGGTGGATGCAGGTGGTATATTCTAATGGTGGGCACACCACACACTTTTTCTGGCAGAGATTTCTTCTCATTTTTTCATTCAGTTCACAGGCTGCATACAAAAAAAAAGAACATAGCATATATAACCAACAAGGACCAGTGATGTACTGGTACATCACTGGATTTGAATGGTTATACCAGGATGATGCCTACAGCTGCAGGCATCATCCTGGTATCATTTTTTTCAGCCGGCGATCGGCTTTCATGTAAAAGCAATCCTAGTGGCTAATTAGCTGCAAGATTGCTTTTACAAGCAGTGGGAGATGATGTCCTCCCTCCGCCACTGCCTTCCACGGCCTTCTCGGGCAGTCCCGTGCCATCAGGGGAACCTGAGAATGCAGCCGGTGTTTCTGCCAGCTGACCATAGAGCTGATTGGAGACCAGAATGGTGCCAATCATCTCTATAGTCTAAGAATTTGGATACTACAAGCATTTCATCACTTCAGTTTCGCAGGATATAAACAGCGCCATTTGTAAATTGGGAAAGCATCTGATCACACCGATTTTGGTTTGATTAGATAATGTAAGGGCAGAGGAGATATCTAGAGTCTGATAGACCCCAGATTACTCAAAAAAGAATATATGACAATGCCCATTGAAGTTATAGGGGTTATTTGCATTCCCTGTTATAGCATTAAAAGTGATAAAAAAAAAAATGAAAGGTACAATGTAAAAATAATTTTAAAAAAATCAAAATAACTAAAAAAAAAAAAAAAAAATGCCCCTCCCATGCGCGCACACCTGTGTGCACAAGCCTTGACCCTGTGTCATTATGTAAACAGCGGTTGCACCATACATGTGAGGTATTGCCGTGAACGTCAGATCAAGGGCAGTAATTCTAACACTAGATATCCTCTGTAAATCTAAAATGGTAGCTTTTAAAGGCTTTTAAAGCGCTGCCTATGGATATTAAAAATGTTTGCAGTTTGTCGCCATTGCACGGGGCATGCGCAGTTTTAAAGCATGTTATGTTTGGTATCTATTTACTCGGCATACCATTATCTTTTATATTTTACCAAACAATTGGCCAATATATTGTGTTTTTGTGCATTAAAAGTTAAAAAAGTGTATTTTTTTAAAACAAATTTGCTTTTGAAAAATCGCTGCGCGAGTACTATGTGCCATGAAAAAAATTGTAGTGCCCACCATTTTATTCACTAGGGTGTCTGCTTTAAAAAAAATTTATAATGTTTGGAGGTTTAAATTAATTTCCTAGTGAGTGAATGATGTGTGGCATAAACTTCTAATGCTGGGCATAAGATGCCCCCACCCCCCAAAATGACCCCTTTTTGGAAAGTAGTCACCCCAAACTATTTGCTGAGAGGCATGTTGAATCAATAGAAGTGTTTATTTTTTTACCACAAGTTTTTAGAAAAAAAAATATTTTTTTTTTTTACACAAAAGTGTCACTTAAATGATTTACTGCTCACACATGCCATGGTTATATGTGGAATTACTCCCCAAAATACATTTTGCTACTTCTCCCGAGTATGGGGGTACCACATGTGAGAGACTTTTTGGCAGTCTAGCCAAGTACAGGACCCCAAAATCCAATAAGCACCTTCAGGCTTTTAAAGGGCTTTATTTCCTCATTACACTTCCAGACTACCTATCACAGTTTCGGAGGCCGTGAAATGCCAGGATAGCACCAAACCCCCCCAAAATGACCCCTTTTTGGAAAGTAGATGCCCCAAGGAATTTGATAAAAAGCACGGTAAGTATTTTGCAGATCTCATTTCTTGCCACAAGTTTTTGGAAAATGAAGAAAAAAAACAAAAACATATTTTTTTCTATTTTTTTTATATTTCAAAACCTTGTGAGAAAAAATTAGATCTGCAAAATACTCACCTTGCCTCTTTTTAAATTCCTTGGGGTGTCTACTTTCCATAAAGGGGTCATTTGGGGGGGGTTTGGGGCTATCCTGGCATGTCAGGGCCTTCAAAACTGTGATAGGTAGTGAGGAAGTGTAGTGAGGAAGTTACGCACCTTCAGGCTTTCAAAGTGGTCATTGTATTTCAGGCTCCTGTATGTGGCTAGACTCCCAAAAAGTCTCACACTTGTGGTATCCCCATACTCAGTAGAAGTAGCAGAATGTATTTTGGTGTGTAATTCCACATATACCCATGGCTTGTGCGAGAAATAAATCATTTAAATGACAACTTCGTGTAAAAAAAAAAAGGTTTTTGTCATTTTCCAGAAACTTGTGGAAAAAAAAAATAAATCTTCCATGGACTCAATATGCCTCTCAGCAGATACAGTAGCTTAGGGTGTCTTATTTCGAAAAGGGGTCATTTGAGGGTGTTTGTACTATCCTGGTACTTTTAGCACCTCAAGAAATGTGATGAGCAGTCAGAAAGTAAAAGCTATGTAAATTCCATTATCTATACCATAGTTTGTAGACGCTATAACTTTCACAAAAAGCAATCAATATACACTTATTGGGATTATTTAACCAAAAACATGTGGCAGAATACATTTTGGCCTAAATTTATTATGAAATTTTAGTTTTTTTAGACATTTTTTATGACCAAAATGAGAAAATATTGTTTTTTTCAAAAAAAAATTTTTCTTCAAAGATTTTTCTGGTTACAGCGCCAAAAATTAAAAGTGCACAGGTGATCAAATACCACCAAAAGAATGCTCTATTTGTGTGAAAAAAAGGACATAAATTTCATTTATGTACCGTATTGCATGACCGCGCAATTATCCGTTAAACTAGCGCAGCGCTGTATAGCAAAAAAATGGCGTAAATTACAGTATCTATACTATAGTTTGTAGATGCTATAACGTTCACACAAAGCAATCAATATACACTTATTGGGATTTTTTTTACCACAAACATGTAGCAGAATACATTTTGGCCTAAATTTATAACTAACTTTGAGTTTACTATATATTTTTTATAGCTGAAATTAATTTTTCTCCTTCACTGATGTGCGCTAATGAGGCTGCAATGATGGCCACTGATAGGCTGCAGTGATGGGCACTGATAGGTGGCACTGATAGGTGGCACTGATGGGCATTGACAGGCATCACCTGTGTACATTCACAGACATCACTGATGGGCACTGAAAGGCAGTACTCATATATGGCACTGATAGGAGGCACCGATAGGCGGCACTGACTGGCAGTGTTAGGTGGCACTGACTGGAACTGTTAAGTAGCAATGACGAGCACTGATAGGCAGCACTGACTGGCACTGATAGGTGGCACTGATTGGCAGCACTCATAGGTGGCACTGACTGGCACTGATAGGTGGCACTGAAAGCTCAGATGGGCACTGATATGTGGCATTGATGTGCAGGGGTAGGCACTGTTATGTGGCATTGATGTGCACTGATGGGCACTGACAGGTGGCATTGATGGACTCAGGTGGCACTGATGGGGCTACTCTGATCATCAGGGCACTGACCATCAGTGCCCTGATGATCAGTGTAGATGTCCCCTCTAAGTAATATGCCGATTACCGGCTCTTCTCACCTCACAAGCTGTCAGCATGACAGCTCGTGAGGAGAGAAATGCCGATAACCGGCATTTCCTTATTTACATGCGATCAGCTGTGATTGGACACAGCTGATCCCATAACAGAACCGACGTCTTCGGCTCTTTCAGTTGATCGGTGATCAGCTGTGTCCCAGGAACACAGTGCACCAACAATTGCCGTGCTGCACGCTCTGGGGGGTTGCGCATATGCGGCAAGAGTGGAATGACGTCACATGATGTCCTCGCAGAACGAGAGAACAACTGCTCTCCCACCATTTCCTTATATTGCGGGCGGGAGACACTTAATACAAATAAGGTATTAGATGAGTTTAATTACCACCTTAATCAGCCCCAGAACCTGTGTAATTAATATGTGTTCGGTTTTAATTAAAGGAATTAAATGTCAACTCTAATCGGGGGATCCAAATCAAATCAAGCGGCCCTTACAAGGGTAGTGCTACACTTGGAGACTTTAGCTGGCCATACAAAGAGCAGATCTCAGTAGGTTCATCAGGAAATGTGCTCTATGAGTGGCCTTCTTAGCACCCAGGGGCGGACTGACCATTCAAGCACTCAGGCACTGCCCGAGGGCCCGGGGTCAGTAGGGGGCCCCATGAGATGCCCCATGTACCTTTTTTATAGGCTTTTTTGAGTGTGGGCAGACACAGGGGCCCCATGATCCCCTATTGCCCGGGGGCCCCATGAGTTGTCAGTCTGCCCCTGTTAGCATCCCTATCGTTTTAGAAAATTGAAGGAGCTGTATAAAATTGTCGGCCAAACTACGCCTGCATCCAAATCATGCAGTCACTCTTCAAGTATCTTGATATCTGGTGGCCCTGGCTTTCAGAATACAATTTCAGCAGGAGATTCGTCCATCTAAGCTGTTTTACATGAAGAGGAATCAGATTTATTTTTCTATGAGTGTATGGGCAGCTCTTTAGGGGTGAGAGCATGAACCAGCCCCTGTAGATTTATTATGTAACCAAAGGATGAAAGTTATATAGTGCTGATTAACTGGCAGAAGGAAGTGTATTGACTGATCTGGCAGATTGCTGAGGAAACAAAGGTGTCACAGGTGGACAAGTCTGGCTTTGCAGCATTATCCAAAGTGCTGCATTCTATTCATATGTAAAAAGAGCAGAGTTCAATCCACAGCCTTCCTCCGGCGCTGAAAGAGTTAGCACATGAAGGAAGTATCTGTGGCAGCATTTCCGAAAGGGGGAGGGGTGGGGAGTGAGTGCTCCTCCATACTGAGGGCTCTTCGTTAGCATAGCATTCCCCACATGCCCACATCATGGAGTGGGGGAAGCCACAAGGCTCGGCTCCCTCTAGCGGTGACAACGGGACAACTCGGCTGGAGGGAGCCAGACTGGATACACTGCATCGGGCTGCTTCTATTGACACTTTGCGGGGTGGGGGAGGGGAGCTGATTACACTTCACCCCATTTCCGGGGTGTTCTGCCTTTGTGTTCACTGTGTGCTCCTGAGGAGCTGACTGAAATCATACACACAGCTCTGCCAGGACTGCTCACCCCATTGGAGTGTGTCAGAGTGACTTCTCACTATATGTACAATAAAAGGAAAACAGATAAATAAACCAACGTATGAACAGATATACACAATGATGGAAATAATAAATATTATTGGATTTTAGGTTATGCTCATGCTGGCCCAGGTGCAAAAAAAAGCCTCATGCAAACAGAACTTAAAAAAAAACCTCCCCCTAGAAGCTGTTCTCATGGCAACAGTGTTTTTGCAGAACAAATGCCTGATGCTTGTAAAAGTAACGCTTTTACAAGCGTTTAGGCGCGTTTGCAATTGTCAAGCGTTTGAGCGCTAATTCATTTCATTGGCCAGAATGATCATTTATTCTGGCCACTGAAATGAGTTAACGCTCAAGTGCTAAACGTACTTATTATTATTATTATACAGTGTTTATATAGCGCCAAAAGGTTTGCTCAGCGCTGTACTTAGCGTTTAGGCGTGTTTAGCCGTAGCCACGTCAAGTGGTTTTTCTGCCAAAACGCTGCTGCTCCTGGACGCACTGACCCTGCGTTTTTTTTTTTTCTTCTAAAAGTCTATGTGTGCATGGACACATAGGATAACATGGAGGGCCATTTGGAAGCAAAAAAAAAATTCAGACGCCACTAAAAGTGGCTGCAAAAACGCCCCGTGTGTATGAAGCCTGACACGCAGCGTCAGTGTGAACTCCGCTTTCAGCACATCGCACTGCTTGCTGTTTCTTTTTTTTGTAAACTATTCAAGTGCCACATCATTCATCTTTTCATGCGGTGTGCGGCTGAAAAAAAAAAAGCAGACATGCCGCATTTTTCCACGCTGCACGTTGCCACCTCATCCCTTTAAACCCAGACACATATTAATGACACAGGTTCTGTGGCCAATTAAGGTGGTAAATAAACTCACCTATGCAGGCCATGCATGGTTAGAATTCCGACCGATTTTTCATCCGAAAATCAAAAATGTCATTCGCTCGGTAATCCGATGGTGCCATCAAAGATTTAAAAAATCAGCTGACCAAGTCATAAAGTTCACCCCATATAACAGATGAAACTTCTGTTCCTTCTAGGTCACAGCTCATGCGCATATTCTTTTTGGAAAAAACGATCGTACGATTTGACCATCATTGAGTCGAAAATCGGTTGTTTTTCACGAATTTTCCAACATGCCCGATCACCAAAAAGGGGATGAACCACGAAAATCGGCCATTGACCCACTAACAGAGCGAAAATCGGCCAATTATTCCTAGGTCTGATTTTCGGACAAAAAATTGGTCGAATTTCGAGCCATGTATGCCCGGCCTTAGGCTCGGTTCACACATATGCAGCTTGTGTTTGATCCGCTTCTGCAGTGCTTTTGCTGTGCATTTTGCGTTTGTGCACATGCGTTTTTTACGCTTTTTTATTATTATAGCTTTATTAAATTTTGTTTTTGTTAAAAATACAAAAGCACTTTATCTCAAAATATTACATAGAAACTTTTTCAAAGAATTGAATCCAAAACCCTTTTTCTTGCACAGAACTGTACTGGAACGCAGTAAAACGCATCAAAAACACACCAGAATGCACTGGAACACACATGTCCCTAATTAAACTGAAGAAAAAGAGAGGGAAAATAATGAACTGGAAAGCATCAAAAACGCACAGGAACGAGTCAAAAACGCATCAAAAACACACCGGATTGTGGCAAAAACGCGTAAAGAACGACATGCAGAACTGCATCTGGACTGCGTTTCTACAGTGTGAACCAGCCCTCAAAGGGATGAGGTGGAAAACCTATGCACCCCTCACCAGCGTTGTGGGGGGACCCTGTGGGTTTCCTATGTGCCCTAGCGGTGATCTGCGTTTATCCAGTGCGGAAAGACACAGGTCACCGCACCGGAGTGTGAATGAGGCCTTACAGAAGGATCTTCTAAAATGAAAAAAAAGGATTATTTTATTTTGTATCTTTTGGTTTTTTTTTTTTGTACCACAAAACAGCACTTCTGGATCTTCGGCCTAGGCCAGGCCTTTCTGCCCCCCTGGGATTGCTATGTGGCAGCTATTCCAGGAGGCAGTGAGCGTGTATCTGTGCGCATCCAGCTGTCGACAAACCCTGACAACAATTAGGGTGCCCATGCATAAGAAATAGCAGCATTTGTGCTCATGTGAAGAAAAGCCACCATTCTTGCGCAGATGCACAAAGTTATAGCGTTTACAAATGGCGGTATATATACTGGAATTTCTTTTTACTAGTAATGGCGGCAATCAGTGACTTATAGTGGGACTGCGGCGGGCATTCTGACACTGGGTGGGGGAACAGGCTAACTGCCACTGACATCCCAATGACACTAATACATTGATCAGTGATAATAAAAAAAATGTTTGTGCTATAAACAAAAAAAGACTGACAATTTTGAAAAAATATATCCAGAAAAAATTTTTTTTTTTTGTAAAAATCAGATTTCACCATAAATTTTGGCCAAAATGTATTCTGCTACGTCTTTGCTAAAAAAAAAAATCCCAATACGTATAAATTAATTGGTTCATGTGAAAGTTACAGCGTTTACAAATGACGGTATATATACTAGAGTTTTTTTTTTTTATACTAGTAATGGTGGCAATCAGCGACTTATAGCTGCGGGACAGCAACGGGCATTCTGATACTGGGGGGGAACAAGCTGTCACTGACATCCCCAGTGACTGCAGTACAGTGATCAGTGCTAAAAAAAAGCACTGACATTGTACTAATGACACTGGGCAGGAAGGGGTTAACATGTGGGGCGATCAAAGGGTTACCTGTGTGCTGTTTTACATTATGTGCTGTGTGTGTTTTATTAGGGAAACATGCTGCTTTGTATTGCTCTGCTGTTTACACACAGACCTCTCCCCTTTCACTGTTCCTCAGCGATCGCTGGGTGCCGGTGGAGAATCTCCAGCCAGGATCCGGTGATCGACAGCTGTAGCAGCCTATGGTGGTGCGGGTAGGGCACCCTCCCAGAAATGCGAAATCACGTATATATAGGTGATTTTGCACAGCCCTTCTGCCCTGTAGCAGTAGTTCTGCTATAGGGCGGTGGGGAAGCAGTTAAGCTGGCCATAAATGGGTCAGTTCTATCGTTCAGCCAGCAAGTTGAGTGAAAAAAAAAACTGAACCAATTCCCCCATCCACACAATCCTCTTTGCTGCACTATTGACAGTGCAGAGACTTCCCCTGCTGTCAGAATGCACAGATCACAGCTTCAGGCACTGATCGAATGTTTTTTTCCTGACAGGGCAGTTGAACAGAAGTCGATTGGTAGATCGGTCATACACAGATTGAAATTCAGCCGGTTCAGTGGGGATCCATCTATGGCCACCTTTACACCACATAGCTGGTAGATCAGATTGTATAGTGTATGGTCCACTGTAGGAGCATTCTGCTACAATCTTGCACAATGTACACAGTAAATAGAAAACAGTACAACAAATACAATGTATGAGATATTAAGAGATCTGACAGGCTCTGGCTTCCCAAAGATCTCACAGTGGGAATTGCTGTGAAATGAGGAAATGTTTTGTTTTCCTTTCACTGTCTGCATTCATAAACTCCAACTACCTGTTATAAATAAAATAAACAACAAACTGTCACACGGCATCCCTCCCGACTTCCTCGGCTGAGTCTCATTCTGGGATCACCTGTAGCAGAATAGCTAAAAGCGAACATGCCACCATCTGGTATTATTTTGATTGGTTTCATTTAATTAGTCCATACTTCAATCTGACAGATGTTTGAAAACACTTTGTTTCCTGTGTATCTGTTGCAAAGATTCCTATGAAAATGAGGCCAAAAATAAACTCATCTGGCGATGAATGAAATCGAATTTATTTAGGAATGTCTCTTCCTCTGGAGGCATAGCGCCACACAGAGACAACATAAAAGCATCATTTAACCCTTTGCTGACCGCCATGGCGAGAAGGATGAGCTTTAATCCCCAGCAGCCGCACATATGCCTCCACAGCGGCATGAGGTTTTTGCCGTGAGTGTGCTCGCCATGTGCTCCCGGCACACTCACTCAGCTGTCACCAACAGTCTTCTGATCATGTGACCAGTGTAAGAGCCAATCATAGCGGTCACACGATGCAGGATCCACGGTGGTTCTTTAAGTGCCCTTTAATGCCTGGGATCCTGCATGGCTAAAGCCAGCCATATGAGGATTGAAGTTCGTCCGGTTCAGCAGGGACTGGTCATATTTAAGTCCATGTATGGGCACCCTGGTTACGCAGAAGCCGATCTACTGATTGACTTTTGTACAACCACCCTGTCAGATATTCCACTCTCGATCAGCACAGCCAGCTACAGCCTGCGATGCTGATCAATGTGTTGTGAAGGTGAGGAAGTCTCGCTGCCAGAACGCAATAGCTTAGTGGGAGTGATTTCCCCATTTACCTTGGATGGGGGAATCGGGTCGTTCTTTTACTCATTAAACCCAGTGATTGAACAAAAAAAAAAAAAGAATCATCCATGGCACATATGTCATGTCAATACATTTCATGTGGCCCTTGCACACCTCTGCTGCAGCTACTGTACCCCCCTCGTCTCCATCCCCATCTTGTCTCGGCAGTCGGCAGCAGAGAGGACAAAACTCCTCCTACAAATTTTGCACTTCTCTGTGCAGCTGCAGGGAGGTTCATCTTTGCCCACCTGTCTCACCAATCGACAGCAGAGAGGAGGACAGAACTCCTCCTACAGATTTTGAACTTCTCTGTGCAGCTGCAGGGAGGTTCCTCTTTGCCCACCTGTCTCAGCAATCGACAGCAGAGAGGAGGACAGAACTCCTCCTACAGACTTTGCACTTCTCTGTGCAGCTGCAGTGAGGTTCATCTTTGCCCACCTATCTCAGCAATTGGCAGCAGAGAGGAGGACATAACTCCTCCTGCAGATCCTGAATCTCTCTGTGCAGCCGCTGCACCCCCTCATTTCTGCCTCCCCGGCTGCTGACTCCAGCCCTCCTCTGGTCCTCCTTCAGACCCTGTGCTTGCTGTTTCCCTGCTCTGCTCTTGGCAGTAGTAAAATGTAAGGGAGGGCTGTGGACTCTTGAGTTCTGATGGTGGGGGGCTCTTGACATCTGATGTAAGGGGGGGGTGCTCTGGATATCCGGTCTTATAGATCAATTGGCCCTTGAGGGCAACCATAATGCTGATGTGATCCGAGATTAAATTGAATTGAACACCCCTGATCTATGGGCTGCCTCAATAAGGAAAAAGGCAATATGGAGAAGTCACCTGGGTCAACCAGACACATGTCATTTTTTTCTTCTCTAGGGGCTCGTTCACATGGGCACTCAGCGTCATACTGCATGAAAAGTTATTTGTTTACTTTCTGTCCTAGCACTGAGCTGCGTGCAGGCAGCCCATATAAGTGAATGGACACCCTCCAGTTGTATGGACTCCCCTGTACCACTGAGATTGTCAGGTACACAGGGACAGGTGCAGGCAGGCGTTATGTCCAAGTCTGTTCACCCATCCCTACGTACCTCTCAGGACTCAGCTGTGTGGATCCATACAGGTGTTCATTCACTTATATGGGCTGAGCTGCATGCAGCTCAGTGCTAGGACAGAAAGTAAACAATTGGTGAAAAGAATCGATGGTACAAGGTTGAAAATTGGTATTTTTTAACACTCTAAGAAATTCTTGCCATGCACCATTTCGGAGCACAAAAGGCGACCTGTATTACTGTCTGAATGACTTGATACAATCAATTTATATACAGACTCGATGGAAACTCGGGGTACATGTGAACGGAACATTGATCAAAGTATATTTGCTGTACAGTCAATTTTTAGCTCGGTTTAGATCGATCTTTTATGGTACCGTGTATGGCAAACAATACATCAGTGCTCTGATAAATTATCAGTTTTCTTTTCCATGCAATCTCTTCCAATAAAAATAACTGATCTATAGTTGACAACCCCATCAATCAATATGACATACATCGGGAAGTGGATTTTGATCAATTGTTAAGATTTGATTGTAACTTGAGTTATCTTTGACAATTCTATTTCCACCATGAAATCTCATCACTTGATTGACTAAAATATGATCAGATTCATGACCAAAGCATCTCAGTGCTGCAGATCAATGCAACATGATCGATCATTTTTTGCCCTTGCCATTCAACTCAGTGGTATGGAATCTGATCAAAATAGACTCCAAACCAATCGAAAGGAAACTGATGGCTATTTGATTGTTTGCCAATTCAATAGTTTTGATTGATTTGCACTTTGATGGGATTATAAATTGAAGTGTGTATGGCCTCCATGGAGCATTGAACAATTTTTTCAATCTCCTGATTAAACATGAAACTTATAGAAAATATGATTGTATATAAAATCATTCCATTTATGGCCACCATTAGATTGCTGGGGGTATCATTACTAAGCAGTGTTTTATGAATTATGCATGCTTTGAGAAATTACACTTTTATTTTCTGATATTGATTTATAGGGAACAACTCAATTACATAATTGATATGCCACACATGGGGAAGTGAAGTTCGATCAATAGTTTCTGTTTCCACTGTCTAATCCCATAATCTGATTGATTGATTGAAGTACAATCGGATTCATGGCCAAAGCCTCTCAGTGCTCTTGATTGATGAACATTATCGATCATCTTCTGTCCTGGCCGATCAGCTTGGTTTGATTGAATCTGATCTAAATTGAGCCTAAATTGTTTTGAAGGGAAGCTTTGAATACCTTATTGTTTGTTGATTCGATCAAACTGCACATCGATTGGACGATAAAACTGAAGTGTGTATAGCCACCATATGGTGCATCAAATTGTGTTTTCGATCTCCTGTCTGGACATTAAACCTTCCAATAAACAATGGTATATAAAATCGTTCAGTGTATGTGCACCACATACAGAAACATAGAAGAGTGACAGCAGAAAAAACAGACACAAGGGGGTTTATTTACTAAAGCTGGAGAGTCCAAAATCAGACTCCCTTCTGCATAGAAACCAATCAGCTTCTAACCTCAGCTTGTTCAATGAAGCTTTGGCAATGAAACCTGGAAGCTGATTGGTTTCTATGCAGAAGGGAGTCTGATTTTGGACTCTCCAGCTTTAGTAAATAAACCCCAAGTAGTCCAATGAGTCTGTCCCATGTTTTATATATATATATGTCTATATATATATTAGCGTTTTTTAGTTTTTTTTTGTTTAAATGATCTCTTGATTGGACATTAAATCTATTAATAGTATGAATGTATAAAATGTATGGCCCATTGCCTGATCCCTTCCATCTCCCAGTCAGACATTAAACCTGTCGATATTGATCGACAATTGATATAATTATTATTATACAGGATTTATATAGCGCCAACAGTTTGTGCAGCTGCTTACAATATAACGGGAGATAATACAGTTACAATATAATTCAATACAAGAGGGTAAGGAAGGCCCCGCTCATAAGAGCTTACAATCTAATAGACACAACATTGCTCTGTGTATGGCCACCATGAATGATGCATTGCTCCTTCTCAATCTCCTGATGGGAAATTGAACCTATTAATATTATGATTTATATAAAAATCATTACATGTATGGCCACTATGTATGATTCATCAAGCAATCTTGTTTCTCTCTATTGATAAAATGATTGTATGTAAAATCATTCTGTGAATGGCCACCATGTATGTTGCATTATTTTTTTTTTTATTTCCCGACTGGACAGTAAACCTATCAATAATATGATTATATAGAAAATCATTACATGTGTGGCCACTATGTATGGACACATGGAACAATCCTTTTGATCTTCCTATCGATAAAATTACCATATGTAAAATGGCCACCTTATATGATGCATCAAACAAATTTTTATGATCTCCTGATTTAGACATTAACCCTACTGATCATATGATTATATAAGAAATTGTTGCATGTATGGCCAGTATGTATGATGCA